TCTCTCTGGGTTATCGTCCAGTCGCACTCAAACCACTCGAACTCAATTTAAATTAATTTAACGCCAGACATAAGCAGCTACGCCTCTCGTTGTTGTTGTTGTTGTTTTTTGCAAATAGTCCTTGCGCGAGAATTTAAGAATAGGAGTACCCCACGATGGTCAACAAAAAATTCCGTGCGAAAGGCGGCTGCCGGGGGCGTTTGGTCGCTGTCGCTTAAGGTTTTAACAGCTGTGTAGGGCTTTCCGTGGAAACGTTTGTTTGTGTGTATGTGGTCAGTCGCTTAAGTCGAGAAGTGGTCACACCAGGCTCCTGGTAGCACGTGGATGTTCGGCGGTGCTAAATAAGTTTTTTCGAATAGGCCATCCTCTTTTTTTTCTCCGTTTACCGTCGTCCGACCGACCCAAATTTTTGGCATTTTCAAAAAAAAAAAAAAAAGTAGTTACACCATTTTTCACTTGAAATAATTCTTTTAATCTGAAAAATGAGCATAGTAACAGCATAGAGAAAACCAGGAACAAAAACATGAAGATTTTTCACAGTATATTGTACATTTTGTTAATCCAAATATGTGAATGTTAACTTTTAACGTCGTCCTGGAGTAGATAGATAGATAGATAGCTTTATTAAAAATCCATTGCAGCCCAAGGGCTGGATTACGGACTGTACAATACGTTGAATACTAAGACTAACTATTATAAATCAATAACAGTAAATAAATAAAACAAAGGAACAAAGATACTACGTCATGAAATTTAAGAAAATAGCCGCGAATTTACAATAAAACCATTAGAAAATAGCCGCGTTATGCATGATAAAACTATTCATTAGTCTATTTGTTCTACAAAGAGGTACGTTAAAAGCGCGCTTTCTCCTTAAGGCTACAGTACTAAGATTACGTGGCGGCAAAAGGCCATGTAATTTGTGGAGGCTGTTGTCCTTAATCTCATTGAATAGGCGCTCTGTCAGCCATTGGCGCCGTTGATGGAGGGTGGAAATATTGCACTCTTTGAGAGCCTCTTGATAGCCTAAATCTGGGAAAATAATTCTAAGTGCACGGCGCTGAATTTTCTCTAGCTCTTCAGAGAGATACTCAGGCAGACCATTGTGGAAAACTTGGCAGGCATATTCAGACATGGGCCGGATACACGTAGTATAGAAACAAAGTAGCTGCGCAGGATCTCCTTTTGCACGCTTAAGCTGCCTTAATAGATATAGCCTAGAGGCTCCTTTTTTGATAACATTCTCTATGTGAGCGTTCCACTTTAGTAATAGTAGCAGGGAATAGTAGCAGGGCCTACTATTCCGAGACTTCTTCTGATTTTTTTTTAGTTTTTTTTTTCCAATCCGACCGACCGACCCAATATCAGGAAACGCATTCGACGGTAAACGAAGAAGAAAAGGGGGATGGTCTAGCGGCGAAGAGCGAGGAGAAACGGATGTTTTCGCAAGCTAGGGATGGACATATATATTTTTTTTACAAAGAACGAGAAGTCCAAAGACTACTGCAAAGCTGATTTAAAACAACGTGTATTGTTTTTTACAACAATATTTCGGCTGGCCATACTAGCCTTCTTCAGGTTTACAGATGTTGCTGGTAATCGGCTCCTGTTTAAGTGAATTCAATTTTTTAAGGCATTTTGAAGCTTAAAAAAGCTAGTAAATTCAAGAAGTATTTTGATTAACACTCAGGCTATGTAGCTTTTTTTTTAAAGCTTCTGTTAGTACTAAACCCCTTCACGAAGTTGTAAAAGCGTAGGGTTTGAATTTGCCTCGACAGCTTTAACAGCAACCTGAACGCTGCTGTTCCACAAGTTTTACCCCTAGCCCACCGTCCAGTTTTTGCAGGGAGCTGATCCTCCTCCTGGTTTAGAGGGGGGTGGGGCAAACGATGTTGTTCGTATGATGATGCTCCATTTCCAAGTGTACAATTTCTGTCACTGTCACACGTTAATCTCGAGATTAGACTACGAGTAGTCCCCCATTTTTCTTCAGGGATGGTAGCCAAACAGCGAAACGCAAGCGCGCGTGAAAGTCACCCCACGCAAGAAAAGGCGACACGCGGCGGGGAGAATCACCGCCGCGTCTCGCCTTTCTTGCGTGGGTTCATTTTCACGCGCTCGTGTTTCGCTCGCTCTACTATCCCTGAGGAAAAAAGGGGACTACTCGTGGTCTACCTCGAGACAGAAACCGAGAGCAAGCAGGCTAATGATAAAATCCTTGGCCGCAATCTTTTCGTCCGCCCATGCTGTTCCAAGCGTTCAGATTGTGGGGAAGGCACAGAAATCTTCCCGCCAGACTCCTTCACGAAATAAACGCCTGGGTTAACAGGCTAATCGTTCGCGTTGGTAGTTTAGGGACAAAATCCACTGAGTCAATGAAAAAGAGTTATTTGGCAACTTATCGAGAAACTAAGAACACAGACGTAATCAAAACACCCGATTTTAATTTACTGATTTCAATCTCCTTACAAACTTCATTGGAAATCGTTTTTCTCTTTTTGAGTACAAATTCATGATTTAAAATACAGTGGAACCCGGTTACTACGGACACCAACGGGACATGCCACTGTGTCCGTATTAAGGAGGGTCTTAGAAAACAGTCACGGACACATGTTTTATCGACATGAATATACGAAGGAACAACGAATGACTGAATCACAAAGCCAAGGAAGTGAAACTTGTATAATGGGAAGCAGAAAACTTCATGAAATAGCCTGTTCCAGGCTAGCCTACGTGTACCCGCACCCTCCCCTCTGTTTTTCCTTTGTCGGGGGGAGGGTGCGGCTACACGTAGGCTAGTTCCAGGCTCTCAGATACTGGGGAAGACGCGAAAGTAAAAGGCCCGCGAAAAGTTGTTGGGGCGTGAAAAAGGAAAAAGGAAGGGACAGAGAGCCTTCTCGCCCCTGCTCTCCCCAGTTTATTTTCGTTTTAGTTTCGTGTTTGCGCTCGCTCAATTCAGCGGACCATCTCGGAGCCTGTAACAGGCTATTCATGAAAGGGCCGTTGAAAGGGCCACAGTAGGGTCAGACCGACTGAGGAATAAAATAAAATGTTTACAATGAAAATAGACAGTGTGCAGATACGCAGTGTCCGTAAAGCGGACTTGACGATCCCGGCATGAGAGACTGTGACTCGGTACACAGAAAAGTGTCCGTTGTCCGTAATAAGCGAGTTAATTAGCCCACAATACAACCAGCTACAACCTTGCTGGAATAATCTTTTGCAGGAGCCCATCAGATGATGGGCTCCTGTCTTTTGTTGTAATCAATAATTTTTCAATTTTGAAAAATGAAAAAACTGTTGTCGTGTTTGTTTCGAAGGAAAAGAAAATAGCCGTTTTTCAGTTTCCTATCCGGGGACCTATTTTTCTTAGACTTGCGGACACGACGTCTCTTGAAGCTTCAGCGGTGACACTAGGCAAGTCGTTCTTTTGAAAGCTGTGTATTTCTTATTAACAATGCAAAGACTTTTCAAGGCCATTAGACTAATTTTTAAGCGCTTTTCTCGTCGCTTAAACTGTAAAACTAGAGAAAACAATCAAAACTGCCCTTCACAGCAAAGGACATGGTTGACTACCTGACAACTTTCTTAGAATAACTGAGACACATGGAAGAACACGCAAAAGATGAACGTTGAGTATTGAACATTGCTCTTCTAAAAGGACATCTTCCAGAAAAAGGAAAGAATCATCTTAAATTTCAAGTACTATTCAAAACGTCATTTAAATGCAAGTATTAGTCTTAACTACTCAAGTACGATTTAACGAATTTTGAAGAAGGTGGCTGATGAAAATAAAACTCATTTTCACAAGAAAGGTTTTGGACGTGGCCTCGGTTTGAAAGTGATGGCTTTTGGAACTCGGACATGAATTATTCATAATAAAAATTTCTTCCCTAGAGATTAGACTTTCTCAGTCTTGGTGTCCATTTTTCCAATATTTCAATTCCTTTCGTTTTTGTCACCGTCATGACCGCTGCATTGTAATTTTCATCCTCAATCAACTGCAAAACCCCACTGGCAACTTCTTCTGGGCTGTCAAAAAAGAAAAAAATTATCAGTAAACTGGAAATTTATGAAATTTTGTGGGTTTCGCCGTACACCAGCACCAGGCCAGTGTCATGGGAGGTGATGGGCTTTAATCTCATCGCCAACATGGAGTTTTCGTTTCTAAATACCATTATTCTGAAAGATCATTAGTAACTCGAGAAGTTGTGAAAAAAAGCCTGGAAAAAATTAAGATTTTAACAGGATTCAAACCCGTGACGTCGGTCTGCCTGCCTGCGTGTTGGCTGTTTGCTTGCCTGCAAGTCTGCGTGTCTACATGCAAATGCTTGTTTTTCTGCTATAAACTGCGGTCTGTGGCGACGTCCATGATTGTGCGTTTGCTTGTTTGCTTTCTGCGGTATGCAATTGTCTGCATGTCTGGTTCGCTGCTGTGTGAGGTCTTCACGGCTGATTCCCTGCTGCTGTAGACGTGCAGACGGCAGACAGGAGGGAAGCAGATCTGCTTCTCTTTGTCTGCTTGTCCACGTTCTGCTGTGCGCTTGTCGGCTTCTCTGCTGCCTGTATCTCTGCTTTTTTGCTGTCTGATTATCTGTTTCTCTACTTCAAGTTGTCTGCATATCTGCAGGTCTTTTTCTCTGCTTGTTTGTCTGTCTGTCAGCTGTATGCATCTCTGTATGTTCACTGTCTGTATGTCTGCTGCCCGGGGGAAAACGCCCATTTAAAGGGATGCTCGTCGGAAAATTAAAATTAATCCCTAAGGGAAACCAAGGTGGGTGTGACTGAAGCTTTAACTGACCCCTAAAGGTCACGGTATTTCTTTGTAAATTTCTTTATGCACAGCCCTAAGCGATAACTGACATGAATGGGCCAATACAATGCCTTTCCATCCCAAATACTCTAAGTTAGACCAAATTCGGAAAGTTACACCTCTAAGCGAGACAACAAGCATCCCTATCACTTTTATACAGAAGTCCCCCCCGGAACTGTTGTCTGCTTCTCTGCTGTCTGCACATCTGCTTCTATGCAATCTGCCTGTTTGCTTCCCTGCTCAGCTGTCTGTTTGACTTCATTTCTGTTTGTCTGTCTGTCGTCTCATGTTGCTGTGACATTACTCAAGAGAGAGGTCTGCAATTTGGTCTCTCTCGGCAAATGTGTCTTGAGAGAGGCCAAGATATGAGGCAGCTGTATTCGTAGACTGTTAGAAGGTAAGACTATACCTTGTCAACCTCGTTCCCAGGGTTCTCTCCTACCCGCCCTACGTAGGGCGGGTAGGAGAGAACCCTGGGAACGAGGTTGATACCTTTCTTCAATAGGCCACTTGCACTAAGAGGTCACGTGACCAATGCTTCCTTCAAACAACGCGCTGGAATCATATTTTCAACATTTTCCTTTTTCATTTGTGTTCAGAAAGGGGTAATTCATAATTTTAAAAATCACATTTTGGTGACGTGACCAGCTACGAAATTACTCATTTTAAGAAAATGGTACGGGTTTGAAAACCAAATCACGTTCATTTTGTTTAAGATATGACCCACTAATCGTTTTTCAAAGGCAAAATCTTATAACTTTCATTTTCATAAGAACGATGTCACATGACCTCTTAGTGCAAATGGCCTATCAATGCTACATTTAACAATTAATGAGTGAGGCTGAGTATCTTATGAAGAATTATGGAGATCGAGGAGGGTGTTATTCCTCGATCTCCATAATTCTTCATATGATACGAAAGCTGAATTCAATAATTGTTTTATTATTCATTCAAAATAATTCCTAGTTTAAAAACATGGCTAAAACATGCTTACCTTCATCGATCCATCGATGTTAAGTTCATCTTCGATAGTGCACGTTTAAGTTTGTCCAGCTCCGCAAATATTCTTCAAATCGCAGATGTCGCCCTTCGAGTTGTCTTCTTGCTGTTATGGCCATGTTTTTAGCTATTTTTTTGCCTAGTTCTTACTCTTGAAACGAGTGAAATGTCCGCCATTTTTCGTTTTCACAATCAAAACAACTCAACCTCGTCCCCAGGTCTTCTCAGTTACTGGTGCCTTAACCTGCACGAACGCTGCATTTTTGACATCCTTTCCTCGTTAAACAAAAAATTCTTCCAAATGTGGTCATGAGAAACTTTTTATAGTGAACTATGCGTGTGCTTTTAGCCAATCAGAATTGGGGAAATATTTTGAATGAATAATAATCTGTTTAAGCAACCTGTGAGCTCATAGGCTATATGAATCTGAGTGGAGGTGTACCAGTGCACTGCCCTGCCACATTTATTAGGGCTGGCTCTCACTTCAAAGTTTCTGTGGTTGCCTGTGACCTCACCTGATCAAACCAAGCTTGGAAATGATGTCTTTTTCTCTGTATGAAGATTCACTAGCCAAAAATTGTGGATTATTTACCATCTTTGTATTTGTGAAGCCAGGGCAGATACAGTTTACTCTTATTCCTTCTGTTTCTTTGAGATCCTATCAAAGACAAATTATTACCCAAATTTAATAAATTATAATATTTAATACTACTAATAATAACAATAAATAGAGGATATAACATGGCCGTGCGGAGATACGAAATTTCTCTTCGAGTGTTGAAAAATATTCTCCAAGCAACCATGTTATGTTCTATTTATTATATAAACACCAATGAAATGCCAAACCATTTTACTTAAATAGCTTTTTTGGTGTGAAAGGTGCGGTTTATTATGAAGCCATAGCAATAGTGATATTTTCACATGTGAGGATATCTAGCCTTCGAAAACATCCGTTTCTCCTCGCTCTCCGCCGCTGGGGACGTTTCGCGCATAGGAACGTCTGCGACTCAGCGACAGAAATTCCATACTGATGACGTAAAATATGTCCAGCATCCGGTCAGAATCCCTGATTGGTCGACGGAGCAGTTACATTGTTTTTGCCATTGTTTACGAATGACAGACAAAAGACAAAAGGCCACAAAGGTCAAATGTAAACGGGATGAATCTCTGACAAAACAGTCAATATTTGTGGAATATAGTCTTCTCTAGAACAAGCATTTGAGTTTTGCTGGAGCTCGTTCACAGATGAACACAACAATTTACCAAAATCGATCAGAAGAAACCTAAAATTGAATAAATTTTTATTTGGAACCCCATGACTAGGCTTTTGTACATTATGCTCGCATTTTTTCGAGCGTTTTAGTGAGGCAAAAGCATTGAGCATTATTCGAGCATTTTAGTGGCATTTTCCCCGGAAAATTAATTTTTCCGCGAAAACAAAAAAGAAATTAACTTTTTTCAGGAGCCCATGGAGGCAGCGTGGCCGAGTGGTCAGCGCGTCAGAGTCGCAATCCGGCGGTCCCGCGTTCGAGTCCCGTTCTGACCACTCGCTGGATTTGTGCTCGGTCATCCCGAGTTCAAATTCTCGGCCACGCTTGTAAATAGCCAACTGGTTGCCTCCCGCCAGTTGGGTTTTTAATCCTGTTATGTTGTTTTTGAATTATTTGTTTCTAAATATTTGAGTGGAGTGCCTGTAAATTAGCTGGACAAGCTAAGTGCAATTTCCACTATAAACAAGCCTTTAATGCCCCATGAGCTCCGGCTTTGTTAAACAAAATGAAGATTAAAACTCAAAATTCACAAAAAACCTAATACAGCTGTTTTTTTGGCTGTATTTATGAACTTGCATTAATTGTACACATTGTCGTTGTTACTTGCAACACTTGCACGTTTTTGTAAGTGTAAACTTTGAAAAAAACTCTCTTTTGATTAATCCGGACAAAACTAAGGTTCTAGCTGTTGGATTACCACAACTTTTAAAGAAACTGTCATCATTCAGTATAACACTTTTTGACAAGGAAATAACACCTGTGCCTGTCGTTAAGGACTTGGGTGTTCTTCTCGACACACGCCTCAGTTATAACCAACATATCACTGAGATTGCCTCTAAATGTCTTTTTAAATTGTACCAAATTAACAGAATCAAGCACCTCCTGGATAGGAAAACACTTCTGTTAGTAATAAATTCATTTGTCTTTAGTAAACTCCAATATTGTTCAACTGTCTGGAGTAATACCAGCAGCAGCAATATTGACAAGTTACAAAAAGTCCAAAACTTTGCTGGGCGAATTATTCTGGGACTAAGAAAGTATGACCATATTTCGGATGGGTTGCGATCGTTGAAATGGCTTCCTATTAGAGAGAAACTCATTCTAAATGACGCTACTATGATGCACAAATGTATTAACAAGCTTGTTCCAGACTATCTTGCTGATATGTTTAAATCACGTTCTCAAGTCCATAATAGACAAACTCGATCATCTGGTGCTTTGGATATACCTTTATGTCGCCTGTCAACAGGGCAGCGCTCCTTTGCTTTCAGAGGAGCCAAACTCTGGAACTCCTTGAATGATAACATTAAGTCCTTAAAATGCCCCAGGAATTTTAGACGTCATCTTGCAAATGTTTTATTAAGTTGATATATTATATTATTGATATATATTTTGTAATTATAATATTATTGTATTTACATTCTCAATTAATTTATATATTTGTATTTTTTTATTCTATTGAGCTGAAAAGCCCACTTAGGGAGCATCAATAAAGTGTATGTATGTATGTATGTAATTAATTTAAAAAACCGTTTGTATAATGAGCATTAACCGAGCATTTTAGTGACTTTTTGGGGGAGACCGAGCATTTTAGTACGAAAAATGGAGCATTAAGGTGGAGCATTTTAGTAGGGAAGCAAAAGCATAATGTACAAAAGCCTACCCATGAATACCGGATTTATTAAGTAAACATTGATTTGGGTCATCAGTATGGAATTTCTGTCGCTGAGTCACAGACGTTCCTCTGCGCGAAACATCCCCAGCGGCGAAGAGCGAGGAGAAACGGATGTTTTTGCAGGCTAGAGGATATCAAGTTTTTGCACGAAAGCTCACTTGGTATTTCATTGGTGTTTAATAATAATTACAATTACCCTATATAAGGTGGGGAGACTAATTTTAGGTGATTTAAAAGCCTTACAGGATAGCAGCAGCTGTTTCAAAGGGTACGTTTTTTAGACATCCCATGCTGTTGTCCGGTGGTGGTGGAGGTATGAGTTGGGATACTAAGGGCCCATTGTGGAATGACTTTAAAAAGTCGTTCCACCAATGAGCAGTTTCTTTTATAGAAAACGAAACAATGGTTGAAATTTCCGTAAAACACTCAAGAAATAAAAGGCTCCAAAATGACTTGCAACTCCTGTTTTTCGAGTTTAATCCGGATTAGCTGGATGGTGTTCCTAAGCATGGACATAAAGTTGCTTTTCAAACTTATCTGGAGTTTTGGACAGTTTTGGTTGTAAAGCAGCGTACCACCAAACTGTATATAGATTATGTGACTTTAAAAGCTAAGCCACATCGGAAATTACAAGTTGGGTAACACAAAAGTGGATTAGATGACATGCAAACATGACATATCCTTTTTTATGGGGATTTGCAAGAAAAAGGCCCCTGCTTGATAAAATGGTGTCACTCAGAAATCAATGACAAATGTCGTTCCATTTTGTCTGTGTCCATTACTTTTATGTATTTTTGTAGAGAAGAATGGACAACACATTTTTGGGAAAAGTGTACAATGGAAAATTGCTTTCAAGCTAACCACCAAAAGTATGCAAACACTGCAAATTTGCTGTAAGACAGTTAACATAAATGTTGCCTAACAAGATGTTGCCTGGTCTAAAAATAATACTATCATCCATAGTTTACTGACCTTACAGCTCTTTGAAAGTGCCATTACGCCAGATTTTGTGGCAGTGTACACCGCTTGCCAACTTCCCATTGGAAGAATAGCTGTGTTGGGGTAACAGACAAAAGGTAATAAATCATATAAATAAATCACCGGTAGGAACAAAAGTATAGGTACATAAATATGTAAAATGATTGTGACTCACAAATCCGCAAACGTTATCGAGCGCAGATCCAAATTTCATTTGAAATGAAGCTAAAACTGCAGCCCTAGCCTAAGCTCAAGATGTGAGTCATTGGAGATAATAATTATTACCAAATAGCATTCATGGCAAAAATATAAGGGTTTGTATGGGAATATTTACAATATACTTTAGAAAACATAAATACAATAGAATTCTCAAGAAAAATACCTCATACAATAAAAATACCATGGTTACTTGCCGTCTTTGCCCTTTCTTTCCTGATTGAAGGTGACTTTGACAAGTTTAAGCTCCGTCAGTTTCTCTCTCCAAGAAAAAGGACATGGCTGCACATTCCAGTTTGGAATGCTGATGTGAGAGGCGAAAGATCCTTGGCTTAAAATGTTCCAGCTGCCACAAATTCAATGCTGACACCAAGCCAATTGATGTATCCTGGTTTCATTTCATTTCATTTGTCATGAATGCTATTTTGCAATATTATATCTTATCACTCATTAGTTTGAGTTTGAGCTTGGGCTACCTGTGGCTGAAAATTAGGATACTATGTACTTATGGGTCTATTATGATTTATTATTTAAATATACAGCAGCGCGCACCTGCTAATGATGCTACATTGACTATAGCTCCTCCTGTTCCACCATGTGACCATCCCATATGTTGAATTCCCAGAAACTGGCCACGAATCACACCTTTCTGAAGAATAAAATTTAGAAATTCAGAAATTCCCTGAAAAATTCTTTTAAAGTCATCTTCAGTTATCAGTTTAATTTAGGAGATTAAAATCAACATGAAAGTGTGTGTACTGGTATCTAGAAGATGTAAATGGTGTAAGAGCTTAAATGAATTTGTAGCCTGCTTAGTAAATTTTCCTTTGTTCTAAAATTCCTGCACTGCTTTCAACAAAAATTTTGGTTTAACTTTTATCCTAAATAAAGAGCATTATGCTGTCTTGCTAACATTCGCCAGCAATAACTGAGGTACAGACAAAGGGTTTATATTATTACCAGATTGATATCCACTACTCTTTCCCAATATGCCCCTTCATTTGAAGCACCTACGCCAGCATTATTGCAAACAATGTTTATCTGTCCAAATGCTTCCTTTGTCTTCTTGAATGAATCTTTCCATGAAGCAAGAAGAAAGAAAAAAACATTGATCAATATCAAAATATCTGATTTTAGAGTAAACTTGTGGCAGGATTATGTATACTAAGGCTTAATTCTATTTCTGGAAATTTCTGAAAAAAGATGTGACATTTACATCATTGACTGCATAGAAGACACTCTACTTTAATAGTCAAGTACGATGTAAATAACCATGAAAGCACTTAATGTGATGACCTCTTCACTACTGGAGAAAGGACTACCACCAGTTTAATGTGGCCAAGATTTTATTGAGCCACACGCATGAAGGTATAGCCTCTTCCAGAGCAAATGACGACCCTCCTTTGTTTTCCCTGGACAATGGAAAACTAGTCCCTCAAAGGATTGAACCCTTAACCTCCCACTCTGCAATCCAAAGCTTTCGTCAACTGAATGAGCCAAGAATGTGGCCAAGATTTTATTGAGCCACGTACATGAAGGTATAGTCTCTTGTGATGACCCTCCTTTGTTTTCCCTGGACAATGGACAACTAGTCCCTCAAGGGACTGAACCCTTAACCCCCCACTCTGCAATCCAAAGCTTTTGTCAACTGAATGAGCAAGCCTGCAGCCTCAGTTCTATTGTAATGTACTTCATCAGACTTTCACATTTGCCATAGCTTAATAATTAAGCTATGGCAATAATTAAGGGCTACACTTTGACTGAAAGTTGTAATAATTTGTGGTTTCATCATCTGAACAAGAACCCTTCAGCTCCAACTCACCTATTCTTAATATAAGATTAAAGAAGTTTTAATAATCTCCTGCAAAATCAATTTTAAATCATGTCTTTTTATAGCAAAAAGATCTTGACTAACTTATTTCTCAGAATTTAAATCTGAAATGCTATTCACCTGTCATCTGCGATTCTGATGTAACATCACAGGTGATAAACTTTACTTCTCCTGTTCCATATTGCTTTTGCAGTCTTTCTTGTAGTTGTGTTCCTTTCTCTTGGTCTACATCAAATATTGCAACCTAAACATTTGATTATTCCAAAAAGAGTCACAAATCTCATAATTTGTTTCCACGGTTTATTAGTTCATTGTACTACATTAATCACTTTGTGGGTGGGTTGGATTTTTTGTATTCACGTAGGAGAAAACAGATTTATTACCGTTAATTTCATACCCAGTCCTCTTGTCAACAAATTAAAGCCAAAAGTGAGATCTGGTCAAATCAGATAAATTTGTGCACATATTTGTGCACATGCAGATCAACTATAAGGAATGTGACAAGTGATGTAAGAGCACACACTTCAATCAAATTCTCTCAGCATGAGATCTGGGTACAAGATTGGGGGAAAGAACTCCAGTTCCACATGGGTAGGATGTTCAACATCTTGTTTAGGTACAGGCAAAGTGATCTGTCCCAGCGCACATGTACACACCTCAAATAATGTTAAAGATTTGAAGATATTACAGTGATGCTGTTACCTCTTACTTTCTATAGGATGCAAAGGGCGACCAGTCACATGTTTTTTGAAGAACACTCAGTTTGTGTGATTTTAAATCTGTGACAAAATCTACTTCAACTCAAGACAGCAATATCATCTGCCTATAAAATAGGTCATTAGGTCACCATCAGGTTAGTCTCCCTTCGCAGCCATTTTTTGGATGTCATGCAACATTAACGTTGCGTGACACCCAAAAAATGGCTGTGAGGGAGACCACCACCAGGTGGGTGGTGGTCATTTACCTCCTTGTTTTGCCAAAAGGAAGGAGTAAGCACAAAGAAGGGAGAATATCTTAGTTACATGTCTTAGTTTTTTTGGTTGTTGTTGTTGTTGTCGTTGTTGTTTTGTATTATTATTATTTTTGTTCTAAGCTTACAGTTCAAGACCAGTAGTTCCTTTCGAATAGACTTGTCCCAGTGTTTTTTAATTGTAGAGGAGGGAGCCCCCAGGAGGGGAGACTCCCATATAAAAGTGATGCTCATCATCTCTTTTAGGGGTGTAAATTGCAGATTTTGGTCTCACATATGGTTGTTGGGAGGGAAAGTCAATATATTTGCCCATTCAGGTATCTTTTAGGACTACGCATAAGGAAAGTTTCAAAAAAATATTGTTACATCTGTTTTAGCTTTGTCTCCTTTAGTCTCAAAAGCCAGACCTACATTGGTCTCCCTTAGGGATTTAATTTTAATTTTCCGACGAGCATCCCTGTCACTTTCAGTCATGGATCCAGGCCTTCAGATCAGGGGGGAGCCCGTTCATCCAGACCATGAGATAAGGGGGGGTCCTAGTCTCAAAAAAATGTTTTTTCAGTCCTTCGGGCCTCAGTCTGGTATGAAAATAATGGGAGGCGAGCCCCCCCGGGCCCCTCCCCTGGATCCGCCATGGACGTTTATACGGGAGCCCCCCCCCCCCTCCGGGAAGGAACCTGCCCGTCGCAAACTTCAGCGGAGACAAAAATCCCGAGAAATATACAAGGCGGTTAGCGTCTATTGAAAACTTAAGCTTACACGCAATGTCGAAATACTTTCTTAGCCTCCTTGCGCTTGCATGACTTACAATCCAAGCACATATCTGCGCTGCTATCAGTTGTTTCACAATGTAAACAATTCTAAACAACAAGACCCTGCAGTACTGTACTGTGACGCTTACTTTACCACCTCTTGACAAGAGCGCTCTGCAAATATGCTTCCCGATTCCTTGTGCTCCTCCTGTAACAATGGCTACACTTCCTTGGATCTTCATACCTTAACTCAATTATGCATAGGCTTATTACGTTACAGCGAAAGCTACGATTTCACTCTCTGTCCTCGCCAGAACACCGAACACTCGAATTGTGACATCGACCGAGAAAAACTGAGAACGATCAGTCACAGGAATCCCAGGTTGCACGTTGCAGGTTGCGGACGTACAACTTGGTGGAGGAACCGGAAACGCAATTTCTCGAACCCTCTGTGTATTCTTACCAGTCTATGAAAAGAACGAACGATTACAATAAACAGTTTTTGTTGTTGCTGTTGTTGTTTTATCTTTGGAAAAAATTCTTCTCCCATGTACATGTGACGAAAGGAGACCTAAAAGAGAAATCATTCATTTTTCTTTTCTCTTCCTCCACAGAAGATGAACCGTGGAAAACGTTTTGGGTGAACGGTATAATTTCCTAAAATACAACGCTAATACTGTAGTAGGTAAGACATCGAAGAAAGCCTTCATTCTGTAATGATACGGGTTGGGGCTGAAGCTAACACTGCCTTCTATATAGCGATATTTACTAAGACTAATTTTCGTGCTTACTTTTAAAATTTCTCGAAAATGCGGGCAGAATTTAATGAGTATTTTTTCCCCTCGGCAAGAAAAATGAGGGCAAAAGTGTACTAAACTTCGCCATTTTGACATTGTTTTATATTACTCAAGGGCTCTTAAGCCCTGAGCTGAAGACACTTGTCGCATAACATTATCATATCAGGACCCTGACAAATCAAAAGCAAGATTGGTTAACTTATATAAGTACTATGATGTAGTAAGTGATTTTGGCCGAATTACACTGAGCTGAAGAAAGCAGTGAGTATGAAGCTTGACGTTTGAAGTCTTCGTGAAGTTTAGCTAAAAAAAGTTGAACGCTTTCTGATGGTTTAAGAGTTATGTAACTGAATACGGGGAACCAAACTACTGCTGTTTAAATACTAGTTTTATTGCATTTGAATTTACAGACAAACAAATCACTTCGCTAGCGGCAAATAGATACTTTACAGTGGAAAATTACGGTAAGTTAAAATTCGGCTCCTCACTCAGTTGTATGAATATTACATGATGTTTACTTGGTCAGATTCAGCCGCTGGAAATCTGTTACTCGTTAAAAGACACAGGCTGTTCCTCGTCATCTTCTTTCATTTCTTGCTTGCAGAACTCTCTTATTGACCGACACATGCTTCGCTTTTCCTTCAAAACCTAGAAAAAAGAAACAGATCTAAAGATTAATTAAGAAGCCGAACTGCAAACTGCAGTTCTATTCACTCCGAAGCTAAAACTCGTTTAGAACTCCGTGTTTTAATGACTAAACCGGTTTTAAAACTAGAGAACAAATTAACACTATGTATATATGTAACTGACGACTGAGGAAAGGATTTTCTCAAAGGATGTGAATGGCTTCTTCCAACTGAACTCATCTCCAGGGATTTTTCCATTTTCTGAGGAAAAAGTTCTGGGAATGAGAGGTTGGCCTCTTTTTTCATCTGTCACCTTTTCTGACCATGCATGAGTTTAAAAAGCTAGTTCAGTGGCTAGATCATTAAAAATAAAGACCGAAAAATAGTAATTTTGACATTCTTATGACTTTAAAACTTCCTAGTCTAGGCAACTGCGAAATGTAGAAATTCACCCCCAGCAAAACCTTCATGCAATTCTCCGTCATAGACGGAGTGAATTCTTTTAGGGACAGACACAGATCAGGGGCGTAGCCAGCTTTCTGACTGGTTATAGGCCTGGCCGACTTTCATTTACGCATATCCTGAAAATTGCACGCATTAAGGACTAGTACGCACTGACCTCACCAACACTTTGAGCTCTTAAGCTTTTTAGCTCACCCTAACAACTCATAATTTATTACAAGCGGTGGAGCGATCAAACCAAAAATTTATAGGCCTGGGCCTACAGGTCTATGGGCTGTTTATTGTACAGCAAGGCCGACCGATGGTTTCAACTATGTTATACAATAGGGGGTTACGTAAATATACGTTTTAAATTTAACCCGAGTATAAAACGTCGACTCTCAGCCCTCCCGGGTGGGAGTTAACTATGTGCCACTATACCATGACGAGGAAAATGCAGAACAATCCTATTTCGATTACCAGACGTATCAGTAGACTTTGTTTTTTCAGCCTTCTGCACAACTGTCTAATTACATGAAAGTGGTCTTCGAAGCAGGTACAGCAAAAAAAGGATGATTTTGCATAACGGTGGAAACCTGTAGTTATTTTGGTCACTGTGGCATTGTTTTAATAAAATTTGTTCCAAGGGCACCTTAGTTATGAAACTTCTATAGAGTGTCCTAATTGGCAAATATCAGTGGCGTTTTTTAGAGGGTCTTTCGACCGTCAGAGGTAACATTCTCAGTTGAGACTGCTGCGGAAGATTGTAATGTCAGTCGAACAATTAGTTTTCATGGGAAAAGTAACGAACAAAAAAAGAGCGTAGTTTCGTATAATCATTAGAGTTAGATCACATAACTTTATTAAAATAAAACTGTGTCTTTTTGCCTAGCAGATAATTGTATTTAACATGACTAAAAAATGAAATGGATAAATTATCCCAATAGGGCTTTGAACTCAAATGTACGATTTTCTTATGAGCACAGGCAGTTTGTTAGAACTTCTGGAACTTTTGCCAAAGGTCATGAGAAATTTTGTTTAAACTAGCCTTGGAAAAATTAAAACTTACTGCGGCAAGAGAAACACGTCGCTGAATTCATGATGTAGTTCAAAAGTCTAGCTTTTTGTTATCATATTCCGAAAAAAAATGCAGAATTTTCCTAGTTTTCTGAAAACTTGTCATGAATTCTGGATAGCCGGTCCCTGAGAACTTTTTTAGTTACATCTTATCCTGAACCCACTTATTTAAGTAAAGTGGGGGGTTGAACCTGAAAAAAACATGTCTTTTTCTCCGAATTTAATGATACTGCATGAGTTTTGCTCTGAAATGGTTGCATGTATACCCTTCGAGTGAAATGTCATCGATCAATCCATCTAAGCACCGTTTTGAAATGGGTATTTTGCATTTTAAAATTGCGTTTTTTTTCAATAGGTGTGTTTTGGCAACACTTTAAAGCTTCTGTTAAAATTTCAAAGAGCGTTCTATTTTTTCGACTTTCCCATTTACTTTTCACTGAGTGTGGTTGCTGTATTACTCTTCAATCAAAGTATTAAAATACTGGCCCAGCTTACATCGAAAAATGTTCTCATTAAAACATTTAATAGTTTTCCCATGGTCTCCTTAAAAGGTAGCAACAAAACAACCAAAAACATTCAAACCTCAACGGCTCTTTTCCAACTTCCTCCGGCGCTGATAGCTTCTGTTGTTGGGAGATTTGCTACGGCAAAAACCAAAGCGAGAACAACGAAAAGTGCAAAACTCTTCTTCATGTCGTCCTGTATGAGATGTCTTACTGAAAACCTTACAGTGTGAATTTGAAGGCGCCCACACAATTTGTCGATCACTGAGTCCGTTGGCCGAATTCTGTTTTGGAAACCGCTTTTTATGCAAAACGAGAACAAAAGAAGTGTAAAGAAACGCGCTCATATGAAGTCATTACTACAAATGAACTTGCAAGCAATAAAAGTTTAACTCACTGGTGGCGGTAAACGAAATCTTTATAATCCTGAATAGTATCGTTAATGGAGCGGCGGGAACCAAAATCTGGAAAGGCATAACATTATTACTTTTTTATTATTTCAAACGTGACGACAAAGTGAACACAGAGACAAAGAGAAGTCATCAGGTCGGTTTCTGAAACCCAATGCATCTCATTTGGCCCAATCAAGGCCATTATGTTACCTGTCCGCGTATTTTATGGTTTTTACATTTTTATTAATGAAGCTTTCTTTTTTTTCCGAAAATTGTTTATTGCCGGGTCGTAATTAAAATGTAGTTATTAATTGGTCGTGCAGCGTGTTAATGACGCGAGGGAGGCGAAAAAGGAGAAGTTTCAAAAATACTAGGTGCGCCATTTAAGCATTGATTTCAGTAGGTTTTACACGTTTCAAAATAATCGCCACGAGGTGTTTTAAGCGAAAAGCCAAGGATTAATTTTTTGCACTACGTTCTGAATATGGCTTTGTCGTTTCTAAAAAAGCAAGTTTGAATTTAACACGATGAGGACGACTGTCTTTTTTTTTTTCTACAAATGCATTTCGGGGGACACCGACTTTTCTTTTTTAGCAGGTTTTCCGCCAATATCCGGTTCTATGTTTTTAGAGAAAATTTAGAAGTTTCCCTGAAATACAAAAAAAATGGAGTTATCAGTTTAGAGTAGTAGGAACTTGGGATGATTACAAACTGTCCCCTTGAATTTCCCTTTTTTAATAATTAAGGGAAGATAATAAAGTACCCCAAAAGTGTCGAACTTTTCAAGAGACGAACCAAACTTAGTGAGTTAAGGTCATGAACAGTTCGACGTCTTGCTCAAATAAGTTCAATGTCTGAGTGAATGACTTAGTGGAGTGTGATGCAGAGTACACTAGTGAAACAGCAAAGAAACTGGGCACTAGGCTAAATGAACACCGGAAATCAGTGCAAGCCTGCGATCTCAAGTCTGCTGAGTCTGAACACGCTAAGGACGCAGGGGCCGGGTTCTCGGAAGGCTTGGTAACTTTTCGGGCCCGAAGGCAAATTTGAAAATCAACACCTGTTGAATAATAACAAAGTTTCTAGCTCACAAACGGGTCAATTTTGCTTCGTTAACTGATAGTTTCACTGTTTGATTTTCAAAATTACTAAAACTTTGATCATGAATGCAAACATGGCAAACATAAAACTAGCCTTTCGGGCCCGAAACGTTACCGGGAATTTCAAGAAACGGGCCCCAGGCCACTCCATCGACTGGGCCAGTGTAAAGATTCTTGGCCAGGAAAATCACCTGCTTTCACGCAAGATACGCGTTGCTTGTTTACGTTCTCCATAAAACGCGAAATTTGGCGTTTTCACGTAGTTGCCTTGCAAAAGTACAAACAAGTGTAATGAGGATGCAAAGTTGTTGTTTTGCTTATAAACCTGTAATTGTTTCTTGATCCTCACGTTGCGGTCCGCATCGTTAGATCTTTA